AAAAAAAAAAAAAAAAAAAAGAAAGAAAGAAAGAAAGGAAAAAATGGTCAATTGAGGAATGGAAACTTTCCAGCCTAGTAAACAATCTTTTTTTAATGGTTTATTTCATTTTATTTATATTTATTATGTTTTAAAATTTTTGTTACAGATCATGTGAGCTCACCAAAGTGAGAGGGAGACAGAGAGAGAAAGTGAGAAAGCAAGCCACCAGGGCCAGGACTCAAACCGTGGTCGGCCATGTGGGAGTCCAGTGCCTTAAGCACTATATCACTTGCTGTCCCCAACAGAAAATTTTGTTCCTTGCTCTTTGGGAGACCCGACTGATCTGATGAAAAAGAGCCGATTCAGATTAGTGTTTCTCAGATTCTCAACACAGCATTGTAGAAGGACAGTCCTGTAGTTCGGTTCCACAAGAAGGTTTACTGTGGAAAACCAGTGGTCTTCTGTGAGGACTGAAGGGAGGAATCATCTCCCACACTCAGAGGGCTCTGGGCTCAGAAAAGGAATTCAGTTCCAGGAAGCAGGTGAAAGAGCACTGTGAATGTCTACCCGGGCAGCGGTCTGCATGCAGCAGGACCCTACAAGTCAGAAGCCAGCACTCAGGACCTGGTTGTGCTGGGAACAAATCAGGCATTCGTTACCTTCAAGGCCTTCCTGGAAAGCTGAGAGACCCCCGTGCCTGAAGCCCCATGACCCAAGGTGGATGGGCACAGGCGCACATACTCGGGACTGTCAGCACGGCTTGCTGCCCTCTGACCACAGAACTTACTGCTTACCCCGCCGCTGCCCATCTCTGGATACTGTTCGCCCCCTGTTTCCTGGGCTTCTTTCTATAACCCACGGGTTATCTTTTCTCCCCTACAAATTTCAATTCCTAACTAAATAGTCTAAGATTCCCATGGTGAGGGTCAGCAGGAGGCGTGGTGATTCCCACGTGGCCAACAGCAGTTTGAGTCCTGGAACTGGAAGCTTGCCTTTTCACTTTCCCTCTCCTTCTCCCTCTCTATCTCACTCTTTCTCGCTCTGGTGAGTGCATGTGCCCTACAGCAAATTTTAAAATAACAGTAAATAAGATTAAATTAAAAATTCTTTTAAATTTTTTTTAAAAAAATAAGATCCTCATGGTGGCCAGGTCAGGTAGCCAGACTGGTCAAAACACAGTATGTCTTTTAAACAGTGACAATATTCACATTTTAAAAATTCTCCAGGAAGATGTCAGTGAAAATGACAGAGTAACAGCCTCTGTAAATTCTCTCCTACATAAAACCAACAACAAAGCTGGCCAAAATTGTCATAATCAACTTCCTCAGAGCTCCAGAAATTTACCAAAGGTTTGCAACAATCTGGAGGGTTATCTATTTAATAAAAGTTGTAGAATCCTGGTAAGAACAGAAAGTTTTACAACATTTTAACTTGCTTTATCCCATCTCCCACTCTCAGCCCCACAGTAGACTTGAATACTAAAATTCCACTATCTCGGTGAAAACCAACATCCCAGCAGCCACTAGAGCAGGGAGGGAGGGCCTTAGAGCAATTCCACAGCCTCGTTCCCAGAGAATTGTCATTATTTAACCTGTCTATTTGCTTCCCTGGAAGACTCACTCTCAAGATCATCTTTATATGACGTAACTCAAGAGTTCACCTACTATGAACAGCCTTTTCCCCAAAGGACACTTGTCTAAAACAATTAGAGGCAATTCCTTAACAACTCATTCCTGAGTTGTGGTAACAGTTGAGGCAAACAATAGACTAACCGAAAGTT